TGGAACACCTTGTCTCTGCAGAACAATGTCTGATGTGACCCATGGGGCTTGAAGTGTGTTCTTGCAATACAAGTCCAAAAAAGCTAGCTGAGTTGATGACTTGAGTGAAGCGGACTGCAGCTCGAGAGCAGGACAGAATAGTTTCAGGTGTCAGATAGAGGAAGATGGATTCCAGCAGCCCGTGGGTAGTTCCTGGAGATTAACTGGTGGATGACGTCTAGTTCCTTGCACAGACTGGGGGTCCTCAGGGTCTTGTGGGATGGATGTGCCATGGAAGAACTCTGACCAAATTCATAAAACTTTAAAAGGTATACAAAACAATTAGGTATAATATCAGCTTCCTTTGATGAACAGGAGAGTTATGACTCGGATATCAGAGAAAGATGGATCCAAACCATGAACTCCAAAGTTATATATACAAATAGGGTAATATATCAGCCTGTTTCACGAACAGGACAGTTGTGACTCGGGTATCAGTGAAAGATGGGCTCAATCTGTTCCGTCGGCTATACCGAGAGATTTATTTGTGGAGGAGATTCAGCTCCAGCCCACCTGATGCTGCCTTTTAACGACAGGCAGTTGCAAAGACCATCGAAGAATCCGGACGAAATGAATCTATATTTACACAGAGATCCGTCTTCTGTTCTTGGATGGAACATCACCGTCTATCGAGACTCCCAGCTCCGGTTGAATCCTAAGTAGCAGTAAGTCCCCTCACAGTTCCATAGGACGCATTCCTATAACTGAAATGTGAGTTTTATTGTTATAGTGATGTTTTGTTGCATGATAAAATAAAAATGAAATATAGTGAAAGCATTCGATACAAAGAAAAGAATGCATGCATTTCGAGATACACCAAATGAGATATTTATATATGCTTCCACATATTATTTAAGTACATAATTTTGAAATCTATTATTCTAAATTAAATTGCCTATGCCATGATGGCTCAAAGCCACATAACAAAAATGTATAACAGCATTCAGAAATAGTATGTTGAGAATGCTTGACCGTTCAATTAACGATGTTATTATGTTTTTTAACAAAACGTAAGTGATGAAAACATTCTGCTGTGGATCATCAGGCAATTGAAGAATTAATGATAACATATTTACTGATTGTGTAAAACAATACGTATCACAATCTCTTCTGGCAGACCAGTCTTATTGATCAACTGAATCTTTACAACCTGCAATCGAATGTAAAAGTGAGTGAGTGAGTTTAGTTTTACGCCGCTTTTAGCAATATTCCAGCAATATAACGGCGGGGACACCAAAAAATGGGCTGTACCCCATTGTACCCATGTGGGGAATCGAACCCGGGTCGAGTGAACGCTTGTGGGAGCGAACTCTTTTACCGACTATAGGCTACCAAACCGCCCCCATAACTGTCATCAATCATCTTTACGGGTGACGTTTGTAGAGAATATGTGTCACGAAATCTCTTGGCAGTTCAGCCTATTGTAGCCACAGAAACCTAGAGAGCGAGTGGAGTGAGAGAGTAGGCATTGGCTTTAAGGCCGCATCACCAGTTTATCCAGCTATTCGCGGCGAGAAACACCTAGAGAGGTTGCATGGCCGTAACAACGGCACTAACTCAAAAGTGAGTGAGTGGGTGAGTTAAGTTTTACGCTACACTCCAGCAATATTCCAGCTTCATATGGCGGCGGTCCGTAAAAATCGAGTCTGGACCAGATAATCCAGTGATCGACAGCATGATCATCAATCTGCGCAATTGGGATACGATGACATGTGTCAACCAAGTCAGCGAGCCTGACTACCCGATCCAGCTATTCGCCTCTTTACGACAAGCATGGGTTACTGAAGATCAATATTCTAGCCCGGGCCTTCACGGGTATCAAAAGACACCGTTTCCAGTGAACTCGATGAAGAAATTTCTGGTTTAACGCAGTTCGTCAGGGCACATGGGAGAAACATTACCGCCCTCGACGTGACTTAAGTTTAGTAGTTTTCATGCATCCACATACAAAATCCGGAAAGACGTGTTTCCTGATTTAAAGAGTTTGAACTAACGAGGTGTCGCCGTGGTACGACGTCTTGTTTCCCGACCGCCTCGGTGTATCAATGTTTAGAGCGTCCACCCGGAGAGCGGAAGGTCGGGAGTTCGATCCCAGGCGGCGTCATACCAAATGACGTTAAATATGGTACTTGTTGGTCCCCGCCTGGCGTTCGGCATTTATGGGTACAGCAAGGACAGGTCGGCGCGGAGTCAGTATAATGATAGTGGTTTGCTCTTAAAACATTTAGTTTCGAGTTCAAATCTCGGAATTGAGATACTAACCAGCATCTACATGTATATTCACAAACAGCTTCTTTTTTCGACACGAAATATAGATTGAAACGCAACATAAACACAAATAACTCTAAATAGAAGATTTTACAAGTAAATGTTGACATACCAACGGTGAAATAGGCAAATACAGACGAAGGTAAGGTGTTCACTGATTCAATAGTTCATATACAACATGTATGTACCGCTTTCTGTGGCTGTAAGTGTAATATGTATTTACAATAAACATATTCTACTTATGTATACATTCGATTAAATTTTTTATTTCCAGATGAATATATTTGATACATAGTGATAGGACTGAACAGTAGGACGATTTATGTTTCACCGCTGTTGTTTCCAGATTTTTGAACTTCGTTATTTCTAACTTCTTTGTAGTGGCATTTTAGAAGTTGGGAAGTAAAATATAGAACAAACTTTATGGATAACAACTTCTTTTATTCGTGAGTGCGACGTTTCGATACAGAATCTTGTACCGCTGTCATGCAGGAATAGAAAAGGAATAAGGGCGATGTATATAGATACTGAATGTAACAATGTAACAAAGAAAACAACATGATTAACATGTCAACGGTACAAGAATCTGTATTGAAACGTCGCACTCACGAATAAAAGAAGTTGTTATCCATAAAGTTTTTTCTATGTTCTATATTTGTTATTTCCTCAAATATTTTCATGGACACCCTCATCGTCTGTAGATATAATCAAAAAAGCAGAGTGCTTGTAAGCCGATCGTCATGTTTCACAATTCACACATCTCCCATAGCCGAAAAATGTTTTAAGCATTGCAGTGGGCACCTCACATAGACTGGCTCCTTGCCCGCCATGCGCGGCGTGATCGTAATGATGTGCATATGCTTATATAATAAACGGATAAATATCAAACCATATTGACCTGAGTGAGTTACATGGAGGTCTCCCTCGAACATCGGACACCCGACACCCGACACCCGACATCCGACAACCGACATCCGACCTGAGACTCACTAAAGCTATATAATAACCTGATATCGAAGTTACGTCCCTTGTCATGTTCATTATTAGAAATCTTCTACGTGTTGTGAATTGAGCAGCTTTCCGGAGAACGAAAGGTCAGTGTTTCGATGTTCAGTCCGCTTCAGACCAAAAGGCGTTAAACGACGGCAATTGTCGTTTCTGTCAGAACAGGGGGAGCCTAGTGGTTAAAGCGTTCTCTTGTCACGTCGAAGACCCGGGTTCGATTCCCCACATGGCTACAATGGCTGAAATATTGCTAGAATTCGTTCAAACCCAACTCAATCACATGATCACGATAGCTTTCCTGATATAACCAATAATGTGATATAGATCATCAAATATTTACAAATTTAAAAACAGCAAGTACGTTACCACTTTCTTTCTTACAACGATCCAGTATTGACCACGTATATACATGGAAATGCACTTCAATAACAGGGCGTTATGACATTCAGGTTGATTCGTGTTCATGCATAAGGTCAATTTGATTCTCACTGAACCACGTTTCTTACTCACTATTTAAGATTCAGTTTGCATTGTGTGCATTCTGTGACGTATAACAATCAAGTTAATAGTCACATGTTCTAAATGAAATTTAAAATACACTCCGAAAGTTAAAAAATGTGCACGTAAATTTATGACGGATCATTCGTAATACAAAAGGAACTTCAGCGTTCAGCTGTGATACCTTTGATGCATGATTCATAAAGCTGGTGATTTTGTTCGAGTTAATCGTTGTTGTCTACACAATAGCAATGAACGTGTTTAGAATTAATTCATGAGTTTAAATTTGTATTGCAGAAATTAGGTCTGTAGATAACTGAGTTTGATACAGATGATCTACGTTTGAAATAACAGAGCGACGCCATATATCTGTGTTGTGAACGCATTGTATAGTTTACCAGAAAAGGTTTGAAGAGAACTCGGTAACTCTGCAACTGCTTACCTACAACAGCTACTTGTGTGAGTCACCAAAAGATCTAAAGGTAAGGGCAGCTGTTTGTTTGTTTATTTATTTATTTCAATGAACGTCACAGCCAACAATATCCCAGCTATCTGACAGGGGTCTGTAAATAATCGAGTCTGGAAAAGACAATCTAGTGAGTGACATCATGAGCATCGATCCATGTAATTAGGATACGATGACATGTATTTGCCAAGTCAGCGAGCCTGACCACCAGTCACCAGTTGCCTCTCCTTGCACATGAGTTGCTGAAGACCAATCCTAAGCCTGTTCTTGACGGGTGTTAAACGCACGTCGTTTGCAGTATAAAGAGCTTTGAATTTTCAAATCACTAGATCAACGAGATTATTGAAAAACGTCCAATCAGCACTATCTTTAGTCTATAACTTTGATAAAACTGGAAATTTTCCCCGAAACTGTACTGTCCGGGAAAACGAGGTTTCACTGTATGTTTATCATATAAAATAATACTACTATTATCAGTGCATGTCTTTAACATGAAAGATGTGTTGCTACACTGTACATAGTGTCATTCCAATGTACCAGGTACCTGGAGTGCCTATTTCTATTTTTAAAGATTTCATCCTCAGACCTATATACGGAAAACATTGAAACATTGACCTATATACGAAAACCATTACCTGTATATGGAACCACATGTGTCAGAGGTAAATCTGTTTAATCGTTTCTTTTAAAGCCAATGATTCAATCGTCGATTGCACTAGCTCAGATGTCACGTGTTAAGGTGGAGGACGCCGGTGGCGACACCATCTGGCACACTGAACACGACGGTATCCGCTACCCAAACTTCCTCAACATCGACTCTTTCACCAACATCCACAACCTGCCCATCAGAAACGATGACATCTTCATCTGTGCTTACCCGAAATCAGGTAACCCTTATTAGAAACACAAACCCGTGAAGATCCGGGTTAGAATTGATCTTCAGCAACCCATGCTTTCCAACCCGGGTCCTTAGCAACTCATGCTTGTCTCCCGTGAAGATCCGGGTTAGAATTGGTCCTTAATAACCCATACGACTATATTCCATCTACATGGCGGCGATCTGTCAATAATCGAGTATGGACCAGATAATCCTCTGATCGACAGCATGAGCATAGATCTACGCAATTGGGTTACGATGACATGCATCAACCAAGTCAGCGAGCCTGACCACCCGATCCCGTTCGTCGCCTCGTACGACCAGCATGGGTTACTGAAGTTTGCTTTTCCATTGTAACCCGGAACTTCAAGGGTTCTATCCTTCTATTAGTGCCAGCCCTTACCATTAGAATTTGGTGCACGAATCTGTTCTTGCCCATGCGATTGTGTTAGATGTGTGAAAGAGATGATGTGTACATTGCTTCTTGTAATGTTCCAGACATATCATTGTCGGACACCAAGATTTGATTTCTCACAATCTGGGAATCGAACCAGCTATTTGGCCCTGAGGCACTGCATTTAGAACAGACTACCCTTCCGCACCACGTGACTGATCCGTGGATGTGCTAGGTCTCGTCTGCACATTATGTGATTACAATGTCAATGATCCCATCTTCCTTGGTCTCCAACTGTTTCAGGCACACACTGGGTCAGCGAGATGGTCCGACATCTTGTCGCAGGTCATACAAATCTGAACAGTGTGGAGACGATCACAAGGGTGACTGAATACCTTCCACAGAATGTGACGTCACTTCCGTTACCCAGAATTCTCAACAGTCATGACAACGTGAAGCTGCTCCCGGCTGACATTTTCAAGAAGAGATGTAAACTTGTGTATGTGATGCGGAATCTTAAAGATGTAACAGTGGCATCGTACAACCACACCCGAAACACACGACAGTGCAGGTACCAAGACAATTGGGAGAATTACATGGAATACTGCGTTCTCGGCAAATGTAAGAATGTAATGTCATTTTCTATTTTATATAATCCTTCAAACAGTCGGTGAAACTTGAAATGAACCAAGGCCTTTCGGGAAATCTTTGAACTGCTCCAATCCGAAATTTGAGATACTCTTTCCTTTTATATCACAATAGTGTTAGAGTTAGAACTGAAGTTTTCAGGGCGAAGTCTTGTAGAAGTGTGCAACTGCATTTAAGTACATCTGTGATAATCCGTATCAATTATTCGTCCGTGTAGCCGCATTGTTCAGAAACTGAAATTTGTTTGATGGGCTATGCATATTGTTTGGTTTGGTACTAAATGATCAGGCTATGGACACGTGGGATATAAGAAGAGGCTCTTTGTTACCCTTTAAAAATCTTTAAGAAACTTCATTCAATTTCGTAATAAGCACATTGCGCATTTAAGATCCGAGTTAACGCTGGTCTTTAGCAACCCATATTTGTCGTTAGATGCGACTAACGGGATCGGGTGATTGTTGTTTAGTGCGGCGTTCGTTAAACAACATACTTAAACACACACCATATCAATGAACTGACTGTTTCATAGGGTATTGACCATACGTGTTCTTCTTTTGCCACAGTTCACTATGGGTCTTGGTTCGACCACGTCCTCGAGTGGGAATACCTTAAGAAGACGCATCCTGATCTTCCGATACTTACCCTCCATTATGAGGACTTACAGGAGGCGAGTGATTATTTCTCAATGCTGCATATGCACTTTTGGAACTATTTGTATTGAGAAATGTCTATATATTTATCAAATTTAAACAAACGCAGTTATATATGAAACGTCAGTGTCATTCGAAACAGATTCCATTGAGTAGAATATCATGTGAAGCATTTCGAGTCGGAGGTCATGTCATATTTTCCTCTAGTTTTTATCTTAAATCCTCCCAAAGACACGAGGGCCTAAGGACTCGACTGGTGACCCCTGGTGCTTTAGACGGTTGGGTTTCCCGTGTCCATTCCGGGATCCATTCATGTTTTGCCCCTTTTTCTTGTCCGGTGTAAACTACAACGACACGTTCAAACACTTACATTTCAAGGTACACATGTATATTATTAATCAATGAAAACAGTCTAGGTCTTGGTAGTTTGTGTGATTTGATAATCGTGTTTACTTTGATTTTTATTGTTTCTAGGATCCTCTACGAGAGATTAGGAAAGTGAACGAGTTCCTGGGATCATGTCGCAGCACCGAGTTCCTGCGGGAGGCGATTGACCTCGCCCGCATTGGGAACATGCAACAGAAGAAGTCAAGATCCGCAGCCTACAGTGGAGGTATGTTTTACATAACTGGTCTGTTTGAGTGGAGGGTTGCTTGGTGGCCTCGTGGTTCGTCCCGAACTGTCAGGTCAAACGGGTTTTATTCCCACAAGTATAACTGCAGTATATCGGAGTAAGTTTTTACTTGAACAGAATGTTTCTTGTCGGTGTTTTTCTTGATGCTTCGAACTAGAGTTGCAGTGAACAAACTGTTATCTATTGTTTAGAAATCGTAAAGTTCTACTTTTAGTGTGAGTGAGTGAGTGAGTGAGTGAGTGAGTTAGCAATATTCCAGTAATATCATGGCAGGGGACACCAGAAATGGGCTTCACGCATTGTACCCATGTCGGGAATCGAACCCGGGGGTTCGGTGTGACGAGCAAACGCTTTATAACCACGTGCACTAGGCTACCCCAACGCCCCTCTACTTTCAGAAGTTCCCAAAGATATGAACGCACAATGTCTTTTTAGAAAGTGGTCAAATGTTCTATGAGTTATATGACACTTTCTCAGTAAGTAAGATTATAGTTTTTTAGGGGTTGAGTCTGGGAATGGAACTAACAAACAGACTGAAGCACATACTCGCAAGCACATATGTTTGTTCACACATGTTCCCAAAGCTGCTACAAATGTTCAGTATTATGACATCAAAATCATTAGTTTTTGTAACTTTCCAGGTGAAGTTGGTGACTGGAAGAACTGGTTCACTGAGGCCCAGAACGAGTGGTTTGATCAGCTGTACCAAGACAAGATGGCGGACTCTGACATCAAAGTTAGATTTACGTTACCGTAGCTCTCACAGAGATGTTTACCCTATGGTCATTATGTACCAATACTCATATACACGTAGATCAAATCACAGAGGAGTGAGTGAGTGAGTTTAGTTTTACGCCGCTTTTAGCAATATTCCAGTAATATCACGGCAGGGGACACCAGAAATGGGCTTCACACATTGTATCAATGTGGGGAATCGAACCCGGGTCTTTGGCGTGACGAGCGAACGCTTTAACCTCTAGGCTACCCTTAATCACAGAAGATGTATGTGGAAACGCGTATGTTGTACAGTGTAACGTGATCTGAAATTTCCAACAGGAGAGCCCTAGTTAAAGAAAACCACAGCTTACTGTACCAAACCAATCGACACGTACACTTACTGCAGACCACAATTTTACCCCGCTTTTAGCAATATTCCAGCAATATCACGGCAGGGGACAGCAGAAATGGGCTCCACACATTGTACCCATTCTAAGAATCGAACCCATATCGTAGGCGTGCAGCGTTAACGCTGTAACTATTGGGCTAGCACTGGTTAACTGTGATTATTCTTCAGATCTCAGGTGTAATCTTTTGAAAGAAATAACTAGTGTCCATCCTTAGTTCCCGTCTATATGTATGTCATCAGTAGACAAAATGGTTTTCTTACTTACTAATAATCAGGTCATAAAGCCCCTTGCCGCACTCCTTTGCGCGTGTGTGTATGTTTGGGTGGGTATGACTTTATTATCAATGTGTTTACGTAACTGTTATATTTGTGTCTCATAGACCATATGGCCGGATGCTGTTTTTAAATCTCTGGAACAACGAAATGTCTTTTATTGTAATTCAGCATGTGACACAACAATAAACTATATTTCTTCTTCCTAAACTTCATAATGTTTAACGACGGATACTCATATTGCAAATGATGATCGCCTTTGGTCGTTGCATGTGTATATCTAGAAAGCAGTGCTTGGTGGCCTGAAGGGGGAAAATAATCATTCCCCCCCGTGCATTGTTAGAACTGATCTTCAGTAACCCATGCTTGTTGTAAGAGGCGATTAACGGGATCGGGTGGTCAGACTCGCTGGCTTGGTTGACACATGCCATCGCTTCCCAATTGTGCAGATCGATGCTCATGTTGTTGATCCCTGGATTGTCTGGTCCAGACTCGATTATTACAGACCGCCGCCATATAGCTGGAATATTGCTGTGTGCGGCGTAAAACTAAACTCACTCACTCACTGTAGAAATACACGTTTGTTCGTAATCACCGGATTTCCGATGTGGTTCTCACATCCATGATAATTCACAAAAGGGAGGTAACTCCTGCGATTCCCACTGCCCACTGCTAAACAATGGGTCATACTCGATAAACTTACTGAAAAACAAAACAAATATGTAACAATAAGACCAGAGAATAACCTGTCTCGGAACAGATTCCATTGAGCGCAAACCTGCAAATTAGCAGTGAAAACTGAATGGATAATTGAAAATCAGTAACGAATGGTTGCACAATGTCTTGTGTTCATTGCCTGACTCCTAAAGGTTAGTGAAACAAAATGTTTTCCACAGACTTCTATAGTGACAATGTATTGTATGTAAAACAGCTTGGCATTCAACAGCTTTTATATATACGCATGTGCATTCTGGACCTTAAGCAGCAAGAAATGAAAACCAGACGTATTCTCTTTCCACGAGGTACTCGAGCCAGCCTCTCACCGAATATCACCGACTTGAAAACATGTGATCACATTCAACATAAGTAATAACGTCAAAACAGATAGCACAAATGTCAGTTTTAATTACCGGATGGTTGAACATTTAAAAGACATAATACTAACACAACACCATTTAATCGAAGCAGGTGAGGTGAGGTGAAATTGGGTTTTACGTCGTGCTTGAGAATATTTCGCTCATATGACGACGTGCATGCGTGTGTATGTGTATGTGCGGCTGCTTGTACTAGCCAAGACTGAAGCCGGTTTTATGGTGCTAGCCCACTGAGATACCATACCGCAGTGAAGCATGAATACCCCACTCAGACACATTATACTGACTCCGAGCCGACCAGTCCTTGTTGTACCCATTAATGCCGAGCGCCATGCAGGGACCAACAAGTACCATATTTTAACGTCTTTTGGTATGACGCGGTCGGGGATCGAACCCGCGACCTTCCGCTTTCCGGGCGGACGCTCTAACCACCACACCACGGAGGCGGTTAATCGAAGCAGAACGAACGCTTCAACCACTGGGCTACTCCCAGCGACCCTCACAAGAAATCCCGGCCTGTTTAAGCACTTTCTCACCAACTCAAGCACTGTTATTAAGCACCTTCTCTAATGTGGTATATTATGAGCAAGATAACTTTAATAGATATGTGCCATGATGAATGGTAATAAATATATTAACAACTGCAAATTCCTCTTTCTCTTTTCTTACTATTAAAAACAAATCCATTCAAACGATTCCCCGATCTGCGCACATTTCAACTTCATCGTTACGTGTACCATCCTTTTAATGAAAACAAAGAAATCGATGTAAAGAGTAGCGGCATTTAACGACACATGGCTTTGGTTATGTATGGATGTTTCAACCTGTAGGAGATATATCCTCTTTTATCAATGCCTTTAAAAATGTTGCTATTAATATGTTCTTCCAATCTTGGACTTGTACTCTGAAAAATAGCTCAAGATATTGTATTTATCGTGAGTATGAAAGCATTTTAGCTCCTGAGAAATATTTAGATTGCATTTTTGACAAACGACTTAGAAATATATTCGTTAATTTCAGATGTGGTCTATCAAGATTAAAATATAATGAAGGGAGGTGGTTAGGAATAGATAAATATCAACGTTTATGTCCATATTGGAATTTAGGTACTGAACACGAGTACCATTTTTTATTCATTTTCACATTATATAGCATAGATATGTCTCACTGTTTCCAACAACATTAAAACTTTCACATATATTATAGATATATAATAAATATTATGGTGAACAAACATTGTATATGTGATGCCTATCATCTCAGGTTTTACACATACTCTCTCTTAATTTATATGCATGCCATAAAATATACTTAAGGTTTTTAAAACTAGTACATTTTCCGTATTTATATATACGGTATATGTATACAATGTTTGTTCACCATAATATATATATATATAATATTGTGTAAACTAAGGCAATATTGCAATGTATATCTATTGTATACAAAACTGTATATATTTTGCATTGTAAATGGGCCTGAGGCCTTCGTACTGGAAATAAACACTTGCCTTGATAACTCTGCAACCACTTTGACAGATATGCACTTGCTATTCATGCAACCTTGTCCAAGTATATTTGTAGCCTGTTATATGTCATAGTTTTCTAACTGACATTGCGTGTGTGTCGAGTGTGATTGGCTAGGTGATGTCCCATGTAACAGTGCTATCGCCATTGCTGTAAAACACTGTCACCGGAAGTACTTAACAACGTAAAGTTTCGCGTAGTCCCGTGACCCATTTACCTGCCCTACTATTATGTGACCAACTATGTTACCAAGTATTTACTATACCTTGGGATATTATAAGCTTGATTATATGTATCACATTCACTAAAACACAACGAGGTGCGTCTGAATTATAAATATACAAGAAAGAAAAGAATTCAATTCACATGGACTTTATTTAAAAAAGGTCACACAATGTAGTAATTTGTGTTTAACATGAACATGAAGCAAGTCTTTCAAGCTGGTAAATACCCCAACGTTAACTGAAACAAGTGACAACAAACAATTCTTTCCAAATAGTAAAAAATTGCTGATGGTCTATTGTACCATTCTGACTATATCATAAGCATGTTGTGTATATAAAGCACCATCAAATTGTTGTAATTATACTAGGTGCCTACCCTGACCAAACTGTGGTACTCGTCACAATACACCAGCACACCCAATGTAGTAACATCTGTTTCCCTCCAACAATGCTTTATTATAAGTAAAATAAAGATATTCCACAAGGGTATTTAAAGATTGTCCATTGACATTCAGAATATATGAACGTACAAACGCAAACATGTCCCAAAACAAAACAAAAGATGGCTCATTGCAAATTTCCTTCTCTATTTAAGCGTCTTTGGAAGAAAATCAACACTGGCAATGGAATACGATTCGCTAAAACTAAACTGAGTTCTCATAAACACACTATACAACGATAACATAGGACGGTTCTGAAATGAATTGCATACACTTCTCAATATATGATAAATATTTAACTACTTGTTAAACATCTACAGGCAATATGACCATGAATGACATGAACAAAATGGCATTATTATAAGAAATCGCCATAGGGTGGGTCCAGTGTGTGACTCCCACTGTATCCAAGCATGTATGTATGAAGCACTGTCAAATAGTGATGATACAAGGTGCCCGCAAAGTATAGCTCTTCCCGTAGTTACATGGAACAGTTGTGGTCCTTTGATTTTCATTACACATTCCATGAAATTCTTCCCACTCAAGTGATACACCTCTGTGAACGGGAAACACAAGGCGTGCTTGAAGCCGTCTTGCAGAAACATTATCGAGAACTGTTCATGGTGGAAATATCATTTGGTCCTTTAAGGGAAGTACAACTTTGTTTGGTTTGCTGCGGTATAGGAGGTCATGTATATAAAAAGCAATGTTTCAATGTGTCCAACAACATATAAAACTTGATCTGATTAATACAATGCTTGCAGCTACAAGATGTTAGCGACAGAATGTGCCACCCTCATCCTGATAGCCATGGCATCTGCAGGCAACATAATATGCCTAATCAAGAGTAAATCGAACCTTCACGGGGCAATCTTTCATTTGTTCAGCATAATATTGATCAAACCACTCGTTCTGGGCCACAGTGAACCAGTTCTTCCAGTCACCAGCTACACCTGGAAAGTTACAAAAACTAATGATTTTGATGTCATAATACTGAAAATTTGTAGCAGCTTTGGGAACATGTGTGAACAAACATATGTGCTTGCGAGTATGTGCTTCATTCTGTTTGTTAGTTCCATTCCCAGACTCAACCCCTAAAACACTATAATCTTACTTACTGAGAAAGTGTCATATAACTCATAGAACATTTGACCACTTTCTAAAAAGACATTGTGCGTTCATATCTTTGGGAACTTTTAAAAGTAGAGGGGCGTTGGGGTAGCCTAGTGCATGCGGTTTAGACGTTCGCTCATTTTGTGTATGTCATATAAGTAACGATTCATTATCTTGATGTTTAGCTGTCATAGTTTTGGTTATATACTAATATGGTGAGTGAACATTGTTTGATAGTTATTCATAAAGTTAACTCATATTAATATGGTGAGTGAGTACTGTTTGATAGCTATTCATAAAGTTAACACATATTAATATGGTGAGTGAGTATTGTTTTACGACGCTCTAAGTCGGTATCGTAAAATGGGCTTTGATCTCAATAAGGATTTCTTCTGATTATTGAAAAGGTTTTGTCGTTTGTAATAATTCCATTTGCTGTTGCAGTGTTGTGTGTTTAATTCATGTGATGTTAAATCCACGTCACCCCTGTCCGCATCAAATATACTTGCCTTTCCGATAAGCAGCCTTGCCAGTTAGCTCGGCTGTAGCCTTGACTTTCTTCATGGAGTCAAAGTCGCAGTGGTCACACACTTGTCTGATGTAGTCGTCACTCCTTGATACCCCCAGAAAGTCACACAACTTCTTAGCCTCCCTGAATGTGTCCTGTGAAGACAAAAACAATATTAAACATAAGACGACACGCCAGAGAACAAATGCGGCAAAAACGTTTTTGTAATCCTAAAAGAACACAGACAGGAAACCAGAATGAAACATTGTCTGTGACTATATTCTAGGTCCTTGCCCTGAGTAACATTGCCTGTGACTATATTCTATGTCCTTGCCCTGAGTAACATTGTCTGTGACTGTATTCTATGTCCTTGCCCTGAGTAACATTGTCTGTGACTATATTATATGTCCTTGACCTGAGTAGCATTGCCTGTGACAATATTATGTCCTTGCCTTAAGTAACATTGTCTATGTCTATATTCTATGCCCTTGCCCTGAGTAGCATTGCCTGTGACAATATTATGTCCTTGCCCTGAGTAACATTGCCTGTGACTATATTATATGTCCTTGCCCTGAGTAACATTGTCTGTGACTATATTCTAGGTCCTTGCCCTGAGTAACATTGCCTGTGACTATATTCTAGGTCCTTGCCCTGAGTAACATTGTCTGTGACTATATTCTAGGTCCTTGCCCTGAGTAACATTGCCTGTGACTATATTATATGTCCTTGCCCTGAGTAACATTGCCTGTGACTATATTATAAGTCCTCGCCCTGAGTAACATTGCCTGCTGTCCTTGTCTTGAGTAATAGTGCCTGTGACTATATTAAGTCTTTTTCCTGAGTAACATTGCCTGTGACTATATTCTAGGTCCTTTTCCTGAGTAACATTGTCTGTGACTATATTCTATGTCCTTGATCTAAGCAGCACTGTCTGTGATAATATTTTATGTCCTTCTCCCGAGTATCATGGCCGACCTCTTTAAGGTCTTCATAGAAGAGTGTCAGGAAGGGAATGTCGGCAGTTTTCTTCACTTCTTCCCACCCCTTCAAATGGTCGAACCAGGAACCATATTCAACTGAAACATTGAACCATATATAACATTTCTATACAAAAAACATATCAAATAAACCACTGATACATATTCCCAGTTTGTGTGTTTATTTATTTTTATTTTTATTAAGGCCTCAAGGTGGTCTGTAGATAATCAAGTCTGAACCATACAACGGATCATCATGTTGCTTCTTGGACGTGACATAGAATCACACCTCATTGCAAAATATTTCCTCTTGTCCAATACGTTTTCAAAGAAATAATTATATTTCATATATAATGTTGTGAAAAAAATGTATTATTATTCATTTCTATCTATTAGTAAAAATCGCTTTTTTTGTCAAGTGTGGTGTTTTCCAAACACATCACCGCAAAGCACACGTGCCATATTTGGTCTCACCTTAGGCAAGTGAGTTTGCTCAAATTTGCCTCTGTTCACCAAGTAGAAAATGGGTACCCGGTGGTATAGGTCATGAGACTATTAACCTTCTAGCGCCTTGAAGCAGCTTGGGTTATACGGGGTAATATTAATGTCCATTATGTTATATGTTATATGCTTAGAGCTTTCCCCCGTTGAGTTTTGCGCTATATGTGGCCATATTATCTATTATACTCTACAGAAGCACCCTCCATTCACAAAATTTGTAACAATAAGTATTCATTGCCTGACACTACAGTGTAACTTACATCTCCCCTCTGTTGCAGGACGAACATAGTTCTCCCACTTCCCATGGTAGTCGTTGATGCCCATCTTTTTCAAAAACACGAAATAAGAAACAATGGCATCCTTGGGATTGCGAATTACGTGCACAATTTTTGGTTTCTTGACCTTGACCTCGTCTGGCAGGTGACCTAACGGTGCGTGGGAGTTGAGGAGTCTGGGAGATGGGAGGTCTTTGTACTTCTCCTCATCCGACAGTTCCAGCATGGTCGATGTCTTGTCGATGTCCGTTTTGTCCAGCTTGCCTGCCAAGAGAAGTCGTGACAGCTCCCATATCCAGTGTGTACCTGCATTAAAATACACGTCAGTGTAAAACAACCAGATTTCATATGCTCAGAAATAAAGCCACTTGCTGTGAAAAGAGTAAGTGAGTGAGTAAATTTAGTTTTACGCCGCACTCAGCAATATTCCAGCTATATGGCGGCGGTCTGTAAATAATCGAGTATGGACCAGACAATCCAGTGATCAATAGCATGAGCATCGATCTACGCAATTGGGAACCGATGACATGTGTCAACCAAGTCAGCGAGCCTTACCATCCAATCCCGTTAGTCGCCTCTTACGACAAGCATGGGTCACTGAAGATCAATTCTAACCCGGACCTTATCGAGTCTGCTGTGAAAAGATAAACAGCTGTGAAAAGATAAACAGCTGTGAAAATTATACGGATGGATCACTGAATATCGGGGATGACACCGGGTGTTCACGAAGAATGGAAATGATACAGTAAAAGAGTTTAACCCAGTTTAACAGCAGTTCAGTGAGAGAGTGAGTTTAGTTTTATGCCACTTTTAGCAATATTCCAGCAACATCACGGCGGGGGACACCAGAAATAGGCTTCACACATTGTACCCATATGGGAATGGAACCCGGGTCTTCGGGGTGACGAGCGAACAACTAGGTAACCCCACAGTCCAACAGTAAATAGTTCAGCTTGCAATTGTGTTTAGTATGGTAGGAAACCATCTTAACGTCATACTACTGGACGTCTCACATTAACCAGTGTAGAAATGTCGGTGGTTGAACAGCCAACAAAATAGTAATCTTTTCGATTCTGGGTTTCGAACCGGCGATCAGTGGATCCTGGCATAACTGAAGGGAGTAGTTCTGCACATCGTATTGCAGCATTTTAGTCCATGGGTCAACCCGTGACCTCTGGGACAGGGGGTTATGGAGACATTAGATGAGGTGAGGTGAAATTGGGTTTAACGTCGTGATTGAGAATATTTCGCTCATATGACGACGTGCATGCGTGTGTATGTGTATGTGCGGCTGCTTGTACTAGCCCAGACTGAAGCTGGTTTTATAGTGCTAGCCCACTGAGATACCATGCCGCAGTGAAGCATGAATACCCCACTCAGACACATTATACTGACTCTGAGCCGACCAGTCCTTGTTGTACCCATTAATGCCGAGCGCCATGCTGGGACCAACAAGTACCATATATTTTAACGTCTTTTGGTATGACGTGGTCGGGGATCGAACCCGCGACCTTCCGCTCTCCGGGCGGACGCTCTAACCACTACACCACGGAGGCGGTCTACATAAGATGAACAAAATGTCCATAAGATCATATAAATAGGGAACATACACTACAGATTCAGCTCCATCTATAATACCTAGGTTGGTTGGTTGATTAACGACACACTCAGCAGTATTCCAGCTATATCTCTATATGTAAATAATCCAGACTGGACCAGACAATCCAGTGATCAACAGCATGAGCATCGATCTGAGCAATGTGGATACGATGACATGTGTAAACCAAGTGAGCGAGCCTGACAACCCGATCCCGTTAGTCGCCTCTTACGACAAGCATGGGTTACTAACGACCAATTCTAACCGGGATCTATAATACCGAGGCGTATTATATAGAATTCAGAGCAGGATGACATAAGAAATTATTTCCAAAGTTCCAACACAGGGCCATTCCCTGTCCATTACACGCGCTGGTCAATTTAAAGCAAATTTGTTTCACTGTGTAGGTTAGCTAACTCGCACACACACAATGTTGCTGTGTCCACGTTACACTTCTATTCCTGACCTCGATTTGAAAAGAAACGAATTCATATGACTACTTAATATTTAAGTAGATAATAATGTACATACTTAAAACGAGTAAACACACCGCTTATTGAGACCTCCGCATGTGCATCAGATAAATACATTCAACTAAAAATGCATTAAAACTGTCCATGCGGAATTAATGTTACCAGCAGCAGAAAATAAACAACGCTGCAGGTGCTCACTAGCTAGTTATAGCCTCTGTATACAGTTAGCTCCGGGTGCGATTATCTAACGTTTTAACCACTAGGCTACCTCACAGCCCCTACAAACATCTGAATGAGTGAGAGAGTGAGTTTAGTTTCACGCCGCTTTTAGCAATATTCAAGCAATATCACGGCGGGGGACACCAGAAATGGCTTCCACACATTGTACCCATGTGGGGAATCGAACCCGGGTCTTCAGCGTGACGAGCGCACGCTTTATCCACAAGGCTACCCCACCGCCTCTATAAACATCTGAAGTCGACAGGGGATTATATAATGCCTTACATGTAAGGCGGTGTGGGTATGTGATATAAGATAGCCCAGTGGTTAAAGCGTTCGCTCGTCATGCAGAAGACGCTGGGGTTCGATTCCCCACATAAACTAGCATCCAAAAGAAACGCCACCAAATATTTTTCAGGTCTAAAACAAAACAAAACCGAATTATGGTAACATTAAATGTTTTATTGTAAAAGGCAATCATTCAGCAACAGTATTTAATGGGTAGCAAGAAGAAAAACGACGCAGCTCGTAATCTAATGGCACATGAATGACATCGGGTGCATTGCCCAGTATCACCAATGCAAAATTGACTGGGAGCTTTTACAACTTTCTGGGCAGCACATATTGTTCAATACCGGGTGTGGACACCTCTAGCAGTGATGCAGGCCCGAACCAGGCGTAGAACTGAGTAGGTGAGTCTTCTGACGTCTTGATAAGGGATCCGACGCCTGTTCTCTTGCATAGCAACTGCCAAAGCGTTCCTCGTATTGGCGTTTCCTAATACGACGTCCCAGTTGGTCCCAAAGGTGTTCAACTGGGGACAGATCGGGCGACCTCGTCCGTCAGACTTGAAGAGCTGGAACCTGCTTTCGTCACTAAAAAGCACTCTTCACCAGTTTCGCTGTTGCCAGTGTGACACGGTCCTGGTCCATCTCAATCTGGCACGTCGTCGTTGGCACGTCAACGTTATGCCCTTGAAAGGTCGATAGGCACTGAGACAATGATTGCGGAGTCGTCTGGCCACAGTCTGTCTGCTGACCGCATGTCCAAGACTGTTGGCGCTTGATGACGTCACAGTGACGTAGCGGTTCGTCAGGTGAATCACCCGTAACTTTAATCCGGTCTTCTTGTTGGGTGGTGACCTTTGGTCTACCACTCCTTGGCCTGTCTGCAGTAATGCCAGTCTCTTGTAGACGTGTGCAGCATCCCATGGTCCAAGCCACATGCTCTTGTGTCGCTCCCATCTGTAGCATACCGATTGCTCTCTTCCTCTGCTCTGCTGTTAAAACAGGTATGTTCCTGGTTGTCAATCAATTAAAATGATGAAAGAGAATAAAAATGGTCAGCTTTTACACCCTAATCTGATACGGGTAACTTTGTGCACAATTTCCATACTACGCGGGTAAATTCGGTTGTTGTTTTTAACTAAATACGAAAGTGAAAGAGTTCACTGGGAATACACATGTTGTGTTCGAGAGATGTGTTTTAGCTAATTTCGAACAGATTGACAATTATTTTGAAAATTTACAATCATTTATATTTTGGTGGCGTTTCTTTTTAGACGTTAGTTTGGTTACAATGTGTGAAGCCCATTTCTGGTGTCCCCTGCCATGATATTGCTGGATTATTGTTATTCACTCACTCACTAGATATAACACAAAGTTATACACGTCCATATCTGTGTCACAAACACAATCCATGCTAAATACATAAACAGTAAGTGGCTTGGCTCCGGGAAACTTGAAGTAAGATCTACTCAGTTACTTACCAGCTGAAAATACGAATTGTCTTTCTTAAGTAATTTTGATTGCACGAGAAATTATACTTTAGTGTTCACTTTCACCGACAAGACATGATTTACAGTTCGGCGAATCACTTCCACTGACAAGACATGATTTACAGTTCGGCGAATCACTTTCACTGACAAGACATGGTCAACAGTTCGGCGAATCACTTTCACTGATAACAAATGGTCTACAGTTCGACGAATCACTTTCACTGACAAGACATGGTCAACAGTTCGGCGCATCACTTTCACTGACAAGACATGGTCAACAGTTCGGCGCATCACTTTCACTGACAAGACATGGTCGACAGTTTGGCGAATCACTATCACTGACAAGACATGGTCAACAGTTCGGCGCATCACTTTCACTGACATGACATGGTCAACAGTTCAGCGCATCACTTTCACTGACAAGACATGGTCAACAGTTCGGCGCATCACTTTCACTGACAAGACATGGTCAACAGTTCGGCACATCACTTTCACTGACAAGACATGGTCAACAGTTCGGCGCATCACTTTCACTGACAAGACATGGTCAACAATTCGGCGCATCACTTCACTGACAAGACATGGTCAACAGTTCGGCGCATCACTTTCACTGACAAGACATGGTCGACAGTTCGACGCATCACTTTCACTGACAAGACATGGTCAACAGTTCGGCGCCTCACTTTCAATGATAGGACATGATCTACAGTTTGGCGAATCACTTTCACTGACAAGACATGGTCAACAGTTCGGCGCATCACTTTCAATGATAGGACATGATCTACAGTTTGGCGAATCACTTTCACTGACAAGACATGGTCAACAGTTCGGCGAATCACTTTCACTGACAAGACATGGTCAACAGTTCGGCGAATCATTTTCATTGACAAGACATGGTCTACAGTTCGGCAAACCCTTGGCGTTATAAGCGAATTCTGAGTGTGTGTATTCATGCGCGTACGATTCCTCACTTTCTGTAGGTTTTAAAGAATTCCAATATAGTGGTACATGGGTTGTGTTTTTCCTTTGACATGTTAAAGTTACGCACGTGTATTTTTGTTAATTATAATTTTATTAAAAAAATATTTTCCAACATGAAATGTCTACGAGGGAGTTATTGTGTTGGAAATTGATGTTGGGGAGTAAAATGCAGAGATGTGGTGAAAAGTAAAATGCAGAAATGTGGTGAAAAGTAAAATGCAGAGATGTGGTGAAAAGTAAAATGCGCAGAGATATATATGGAAGGATTACTGAAAGTCAGCGATGATACGGGGTGTTGGAGAAAGGGTTAGCATATCCTGCTCCGCCGGTACCCGTTCATCATACAATTTGTATTAAAAAAAACTGTTTGTTGTAGCAGTGGACATACCTGACCTGAAGTATGTCATTATGATGATGTCATCCGACCTGATCTTCACAGAGGCCATATTTACGATGGCCTTTTTACTGGGGAAGTTGGGAAAGCGATAGTCGTTGTGCGTGATAACCGACAGCCCGTCGCCGCCGTCGTCTCTCAGCCTCACCGTCGTCATTCTGATAATGTCTCTGTGGCCGTTATAAACCTGAAATGTCACAAATATCTGTGTTACGTGTATAACATTATGTATACAAACACTGATACTTTTGTTTGTTTGTTGTTTAACGCCGGACGCCAGCTATTCCAGCTATGTGGCGGCGGTCTGTAAATAATCGAATCTGGACCAAACAATCCAGTGATCAGTATCACGAGCAACGATCTACCAAATTGGGTGAGTGAGTGAGTTTAGTTTTACGCCGCACTCAGCAATATTCCAGTTATATGGCAGTGGTCTGTAAATAATCGAACCTGGACCAGAAAATGCAGTGATCACTACGCAATTGGGATAAGATGACATGTGTCCACCAAGCCAGTGATCCTGACCACCCAATCCCCGTTAGTCGACTCTCACAACAAGCATGGGTTGCTGAAGACCCATTCTAACCCGGATCTTCAAGGGAATGTCATCTTGCAGTTGGGGTAAGTGAGTTAGGTTTAACGGAGAGGTTGAGGAGGGAGGAAAGTCTAAAGTGATGTAGATGTCAGATGTCTACAACCACGGACAATCACAGATGTGATGGTGATACAACTATAATCATGGGGAACCGATACTCGAACCCATGATCATAGGGTCCTGGTGTATACAAGGGATGCAACTCTGCACAACGAATTTCAGCACTCGAAACGACCGGGCAGTCAACAAAGAAATGCAACAGCAAAACAGGACCTCAAAAACATGAACTAAACATGTCACGACAACAAAGTTGAAAAAAGAGAACGCAAAACATAATTTTATTACATCTCTGACGTCCAAACTTTAAAAGCCGTGCCGTCAAAAGCCATTCAAACAATAATTACCACAAGACCACAAAAATATAATTCCTTTAACTAGCATTTAGAAGCTGGTATGAGTGAGAGAGTTTAGTTTTAGCAATATTCCAGCAATATCAAGGAGGGGGACACCAAAAATGAGCTTCACACATTGTACCCATGTGGGGAAGCGAACCCTTGTCTTCGGTGTGACGAGCGAACGCTTTAACCACTAGGCTACCCCACCGCCCCAGAAACTGGTTTGATGAAGAATAATTTTTTATTGCAATAGGTGCGACGTTATCAGGCAAATGATGATCTGTACCGAAACGTCTCACCTATTGATATAAAGAAGTTGTCTATTAAACAAAAGTGTTCCTCTTCACAAAGATACAATTATTTTAAAAAAATACAATTCTGAGCAACACGATTCAATAGTCACTATACTAAAACGTGAAAACCAAGGTCCATTTGCGATGATGCCCTATGTTTACGTTGTATGTAGACCGTGTTATGTCGTCGTAACCTCTACGGACTGACTGACTGAGTTTGGTTTTACGCCGCTTTTAGCAATATTCCAGTAACATCACGGCGGGGGACACCAGAAATGGGCTTAACACATTGTACCCATGTGGGGATTCGAACACCGGGTCTTTGGCGTGACGAGCCAACACTTTAACCACTAGGCTACCCCACCGCCCCTAACCTCTACGGAGAGCGAGCCAGCCATTAATAGGTATAGTCATGCGCCTCGCTGTCAAAGCTGCAGTAGCTAGCATTCCTATACGACTAGGCAAAACAATATGTAAAGTGCATCGCAACCATAGCATTGGGTCAGCATGTACTGATAACAGTTTGTTTTCAAAATACAAAGAGAATAGTCTGGTCATGTGATATGCAAATTAGCCTGTGGCGGTGACTTAATGCAAAGTCATCACTGCGCCAGTGTGTTATCTGGAACCCGTTCTACCCGATGACGTCACAACAGCCTTGGAGAACCTGTTTGGCAGCGAAGAGAAATACTTCCACGAAACTGGAATAATATCTCTCAAACATCGTCGGCAAATGTGTACCAGTGCGGGGGTTTGTTGAAGGGAGAGGGGTACACAAAGTCCGCAGTCTAGACTACCAGTTGTCCGACTTCCATTTATTATAAGTCGCGGTGGCTGAGCGGGTTAGGCGGCTGATTTTGTGTGCTGGCGATTAGGTGCCTGACTCTGAGGGTGTGGGTTCGAATCCCGGATGGGACTCATCCCAACAAAAGTGCTAGAATGGGTACTTTACTAAGAAAGTGTAATCCCAGATATAATATATGTTACATTTGACCAGATTCTAAATGGCATTGTGTAATCATGGGCTGCAATAACAAATCGAGGAACCTTGAACCTTGTATAAAAATACTTCACTGAATCTGAAGTCCCATATGCAACAAACAATAACAAGTGAGTATGTTTTTGTTGAACATCAAATCCTATTGCAATATATTTCCAATATTCAAGTTCCGGTACAAACTCACTAGGCGAAATTGATTTGTATGTATCCACTCACCGTCGACAACGAGATTCCGTCCCTTGCATGCAGCACACCTCACTTACAGTTATCTAGGTCAGTGGTAACAAATATTAGTGACAGGCAAAGAGTTGAGTCGAGAAAAGTCGGGACCGGTCCTGTGGGTTATACTAAAATGGATTGTAGAATGCTAAACCGAAACGGGATTTCAGGGCAAATATATCATTGACATTTTAAAAGCATATTTTTTAAGGGTTTGAATTTGTATCTGAATGTGCATGCCACAATATGATGCTGTCACGTATCACTACAATCGGAGAGTCCTTCAAAAGATACAGTTTCTTGTTTCTATAACTTGTGTGTTTCAATCAACCTTTACCCATTTATCTGAAACCTACTCAGGATTGTTTTAATTACCATATTCTAACTTGTTCGAAGTTCTACAATCACGTACTTGTTAACCACAAGTTCCTGTTGACAAGGCAGACCCCCTCAAGCTGCATATGAAAGCCTACTATCTGTCACCACCCCTCATATACCTTCAACTCTCCCCTCATCACCTTCTCCCCATTTCTCTCTCTCTCTCTCTCTCTCTCTCTCTCTCTCTCTCTCTCTCTCTCTCTCTCTCTCTCTCTCTCTCTCTCTCTGTCTCTCTCTCTCTCTCTCTCTCTCTCTCTCTCTCTCTCTCTCTCTCTCTCTCTCTCTGTGTCTCTATCTGTCTATCTCTCTCTCTCTCTCTCTCTCTCTCTCTCTCTCTCTCTCTCTCTCTCTCTCTCTCTCTCTCTCTCTCTCTCTCTCTCTCTCTCTCTCTCTCTCTCTCTCTCTCTCTCTCTCTCAGGGGGAATCGGTATATCTACATGTATATGTTAAGAATATCATTACGGACAACGAAAAGTGTCTTACTTCACGTAGGCCCTATCTTTTGAAGGGAGCAGTACCCGGCTTGGGGTCCAGAGTGCAACTGCTGATAAAGTATATCATATCACAAGGGTAGGGTAGCATTAAAACGTTGGGGAGCCCACATGAATGTGGGTCAAATGTCTGATATAAACATTGGTGTAGAGTAGTGATGATTCGTTAGGTACGCCGTATAAGTTATTGTATGGATATAAGAATATTACATAGCAGTGATTGCATATATCATACTCTCATAGTAGATAATAGCGTCATGGCAATAACAAGATTTTGTCATCGCACCAGAGAAAAGCAGAATGAACGACATGAAGACTATGTACCCGGCAGGCCCTAGACGCAGTGTTAAGACATTGACAGGGTGTACATGTTTAACAGCTCGATATGATGAGGTCATCTCTTCAGACATTTACGCAACGTCTGAGCATGGACTCTCACCCCTGTGACCTGTTGCAGCCGCTCTCGTATGTGAGTAGGATTTGCAGCAGCTCGTAACTAAAACATGATCACTTACCTCTGTGTCACCGCTTGTCCCAGAATGTAGCCCTGGCGATGGTTGTGAAGGTCAACCAGAACCTCACTGTCAACAGAGTGGTGTGACTGCTGCTGGGTATCTTTGTGTTTGTTTGTTGGTTGTTTAACGCCGTACTCTACAATATTCCAGCTATATGGCGGCGGTCTGTAAATAATCGAGTCTGGACCAGACAACCCAGTGATCAACAGCATGAGCATCGATCTACGCATTTGGGATACGATAACATGTGTCAACCAAGCCAGTGAGCCTGACCACCCGATCCCGTTAGTCGTCTATTACGATAGGCGTGGGTTACTGCAGATCAATTCTAACCCGGATCTTCACGCCTAATTAGCTCATGACCGAACAGTTGAAACTGCTTAAGACATCATATTGGCCACTATGCTGCTACATTAGGAGGACAGACAAAGTGTATCATCATATTGGCCACTATGCTGCTACATTAGGAGGACAGACAAAGTGTATCATCATATTGGCCACTATGCTGCTACATTAGGAGGACAGACAAAGTGTATCATCATATTGGCCACTATGCTGCTACATTAGGAGGACAGACAAAGTGTATCATCATATTGGCCACTATGCTGCTACATTAGGAGGACAGACAAAGTGTATCATCATATTGGCCACTATGCTGCTACATTAGGAGGACAGACAAAGTGTATCATCATATTGGCCACTATGCTGCTACATTAGGAGGACAGACAAAGTGTATCATCATATTGGCCACTATGCTGCTACATTAGGAGGACAGACAAAGTGTATCATCATATTGGCCACTATGCTGCTACATTAGGAGGACAGACAAAGTGTATCATCATATTGGCCACTATGCTGCTACATTAGGAGGACAGACAAAGTGTATCATCATATTGGCCACTATGCTGCTACATTAGGAGGACAGACAAAGTGTATCATCATATTGGCCACTATGCTGCTACATTAGGAGGACAGACAACAGTGTATCATCATATTGGCCACTATGCTGCTACATTAGGAGGACAGACAAAGTGTATCATCATATTGGCCACTATGCTGCTACATTAGGAGGACAGACAAAGTGTATCATCATATTGGCCACTATGCTGCTACATTAGGAGGACAGACAAAGTGTATCATCATATTGGCCACTATGCTGCTACATTAGGAGGACAGACAAAGTGTATCATCATATTGGCCACTATGCTGCTACATTAGGAGGACAGACAAAAAGTGTATCATCATATTGGCCACTATGCTGCTACATTAGGAGGACAGACAAAGTGTATCATCATATTGGCCACTATGCTGCACATTAGGAGGACAGACAAAGTGTATCATCATATTGGCCACTATGCTGCTACATTAGGAGGACAGACAAAGTGTATCATCATATTGGCCACTATGCTGCTACATTAGGAGGACAGACAAAGTGTATCATCATATTGGCCACTATGCTGCTACATTAGGAGGACAGACAAAGTGTATCATCATATTGGCCACTATGCTGCTACATTAGGAGGACAGACAAAATGTATTATATATTAGCAAAGTAACTGAGAGAGAGAGAGAGAGAGAGGGGGGGGGGGTCATTGGTGTGTCCTTTATAGTCCTCCTGGGGCAATGTTCAGTACAAGGCCAAAACACATATGCATGCACGCATACAAGGTACAGGTCTATAGTGGAAGTGCTGCTTATTTAAACCCCCAAAACTCATTGGTATCGGTCACTGCCCCCTGAAGTAGGACATCTTTTGTAATGGAATAAATCAGTTCAAAAGTCTCAGGAAGTTCGCTCTGAGATTTGTAGGTCACGTCCATTATGACTGAAGTATGCTATCGGTCATGAATACTATTCCACAGCCATTACCGCTGCTATAAATGTGTGTGATCATTACCCAAGTCAAAGTGTCGTGTATGAGATTATAGAAGCGGTTCTGTTACTCTACTGCCTATATGGAAGATTTCTTTCCTTCCTTTCCTTCGTTCAAACGTTCGTTCATTGTTATTCTAGAGGGCGGTGGGGTAGCCCAGTGGTTAAAGCGTTGGCTCGTCACGCCAAAGACCCGGGTTCGAATCCCCACATGGGCTCAATGTGTGAAGCCCATTTGTGGTGTCCCCCGCCGTGATGTTGCTGGAATATTGCTAAAAGCGGCGTAAAGCCAAAACTCAGTCAGTCAGTCAGTCGTGCGTTGTTTGTTTTGTTTTGTGTTTTGTTTTGTTTATTAAGTACTAACTAACGGGCAAGATAAACGATACCAAGTCGACATCAGTGATATTACAAAACGACAAACAACCGATTATGGAAAAGGAAAGTGAATTTTAATACCAGATTAACATTAACTTACGACTATCTTAGCGCTGAGAGAGCTTCTAAAATCTAGGCCCAGTAGTATAAAGACTTGCGGGAGTAAATTCGTTTTGTGATGTTTACATTGTCAATTTACTTACCATAAGTAAAATTTACTTACATGCTCAAATATACTCACTCCTGTAAGTAAATGTATGCATGTAAAAACAGATGTATAGAGATCAGGTTTATCAGAGTAAACAACGTATCACTTGATGAACCACAAGAGCACAGTTATTTAACTAACAATCATAATCAGAGTTAATGAGATATTCGAACCGGGTATCATCGGTTCCTGGACACAACTCTACAAAATCGCGGACTTATAATACGATGGTTAATCTACGTTGAATCCAATGGGTTATGGTTGAAACCAGCTGATTCTGACGTGAAAGGGACATAACTCTGTTCAGTCTAAGGGACAGTACATCGTTCATTGTGTTTGAAGACTACTACAGCTTGTTCAGCTTGACCTGAGCTACTCTACATATGCATGACCCGTGAGGTCAATTGGCGCAAACGGCAGGTCGAGTTAACTTCATTAAATAGGGGAGCAGAGAATGTTAAACGGCGACCTTGTCTTGCCTGTTCGGACATGTTGACAATCAACTGACAAAGGTGCACCCCTTCACAATAATAGACTCAACCAGTTGTGACACGGTCACACGATGCATTAGTATTCACTTGATCAGGTCAAGCTGAACAAGTTGTAGTGTTAAATAAAAATGGTCCAAATTACTTAACAATAATATACATTGGAATATACTGCTATACGAACGTTACTTGTCAGCAAATATGTGAGAGACATTTATGAACTACACGAAAAAATTGACAGGCTCGGTGGATGTGATCGGTAATTCGTGATTAACCGCGATCGCGGCATTTGAAATCATTCAACTTAAACATTCATAGGACTCGGTTGCAGGCATTGAACTGGGAACATCATTAAATTCTCACAGAGGCTGAACTCGGTTTTAACACTGACACCGTCCCCTAGGGGACCTGGAAACTATTGTATAAATGTAATATTAAACCAACCTTCGTAAATTTGGCTTCGCCCGAGAAAGCTCATTGATGAGTTGCTGATGAACATTGGCTTGAACTTTTTATAACAATATTATTTGTAGGTCTCGAAGGCAAACTCTACAGCAGAATACTTTCAGTGCATCAGGGACTATCATGGGAAACAAACATAATGAGCAAAATATGATTTTGCAACAGGGCATTATATTTATAGCTACGACACACTTATCAGCACATGTTTTCTGCAAACGTGAATTGTTAGTTCAAGTAGCGACTGGGTGAGTTTTTGAGTTCATTGTGGTATGGGTCGAAAAGCCTATTACCAGGTACCCTACAGCTAATCGCCAGCACACCTCCTCGATCACAAGAATGACACCGCGATCTCCAGTGATGGCTCCCCACACCATTACGCTTTCACCACCGACTGCAGTATACACACGTGTCAGCGTGACGTCTTATCCGACGTCGATAACCACGGTGGCGGCCGTTGCAGTCAAGATATACCTCACTCACCCATGGAGAAGACTCCAGTCCTATTACCCAGATGAATATTAGTCGTTGTCATTACCATGACAGCCTACCGCTAGGCGGTGGGGTAGCCTAGTGGTTAAAGCGTTCGCTCGTCACGTCGAAGGCTCGGTTTCGATTCCACACATGGGCACAGTGTTTGAATCCCATTTCTGGTGTGCCTCCCGCCTTGATATTGCTGGAATATTGCTAAAAGCGTCGTAAAATCAAACTCACTCACTCACTTTGGTAAAACCCACCATGGATATGGTGTTACAGAAACTGGAAAGATAATCGGGTTGAACCGGGATTCGAACTCACAAATAAACCAATTTAAATTGAAAAGGAGCCCAAGGAACACCATAGATTCAGCCTGAACCTGAAGAAATCTAGACTTGCTTCTTTTAGGGTTTTAGCATTGGAGGCAGGGCTAGGCTGTAGGGAACATAAATATGGTTCAGGGACTATGAGACAGACTACACTGTTTTTACTTCCCATATAGCCATGTATATTCAAATCATGATTATTTTGGCCCTTCGGAAGCACCGTACACCGGTTTTAGATATGCAGTTGCTACGTTCAAATGAGAGCATTACATGCAATACATGTACGCATCACTGAGGAACATATCAAGGTTCAAGAAGCTGTTCCTGCTGCACGATAACTTGGAAATTTATTGATTTAGTTGTTGATAGGCAAATATGGGTCTCCTCAACTGACAACTGCTAAAAAATGACAAGTTGTTAGTATGCGGAATGTGGGCATATCATTCAGGGCTATTGTAAGAGATGTTGGCATTCGTCACCACTCGCCCCTTTCCGTAACCTCCAAGAAGCGCCATTCGGCTTGTCCCGGAATAACACGAGTGGGTCACGAATGGAGATGTTGGCTGTCATCCATCGACAATGAGGCTATTGGGCAGAAAACATCAGTAACTTATGACGTTGAAGACAACCCAGTCTTCAGGCTGTGTATGAAATAACCCCCAAACCGAGCCAGACATCAGGGCTGGTAACTTCAAAATGTTACCAGCGCAAATTGGGTTTAACAAGACCAGACAATCCAAAGAAAATAACTCAAATAATGGTAAAAGTAATTCAATGGTAATTTAAGGTACAGCTCCATGCATCGATAGGTGTCGCATTTCGGCAATATTAAAATGTACATGCTGTTCTTCGAGTTTTGCAGAACACCGCCCATCGATAGGATTCGCTTTTTTAGTGATAATATATGTCAACGTAGTGCTTTGAGCTGGCGATACGATAGTTCAATGTTCAAACAGTCAAGTCTAAATGTAACACTCAATTTGAAAAATAGATTTTAAGATATGATGAATCCACTCAAATGTATGGACCTAAAATGTTTACCAGATCATCGGGCTGGCTAGCTGTAAATTTAGACCGTCCGTCAGAAATCTAACCCGTCTTGGGCGGTCGGAAGGGCATCATTTCATACACTGCTTCAGGTCGACCTCGAATGACAACCAATAGGGAGGATAGAACAGTCCTCGGATACACAAGACTCCATCCGTTCAAATGGCGTGTTAAAAACAGACTGACTTCCAGTTCGTCGTTTGTCGGTCCCAAACTAACCGAAAGATCGGTCGGGCATAGAGGCCGACGACCATTGTTATCCCCAGAGCACAAAGCAGCACGACTAGATCGGTGTCAAACTTTACGTCACTGGAATTTAATTGTCATGGAGAAGGTCTATTGGTCCGACGAAAGTCGGTTTGTTTTGTTCATGGTTGCTGACTGAGTTCATATTTGGCGCTGCAGAAACACTGCATATGCACAACGGAATATCTGTGAGCAAGTACCGTTTTGGGGGAGTTCACTGATGGTGTTGGGGTGCCACTCACATGGTTGTAAACTTGACCTTGTGACCATCAGACACAATCTGGATGGACAACGGTTCATCACTGGACAGGGTTGTTGTACCATATTTCGCTGACCATAAAATGAACACAGGGTCAGTGTTCGTGGACGACAATAGGAGGCTACATTGTGCACGTGCCTTTGGTGATTTCTTACGTCAAAAGGCGGTAGCAGCTCTACCTTGGCATGCAGGAGTCCAGATCTGAATCCCATAGAGCTTGTGGGGACATTGCAGATCGCAGAGTACGACAGAGAGATTCTCTAGTACAAAATGTTGGTGCATTGGAATAAACCCTCAATCAAGAATGGAACGTAATACTTCAACGTCAGAGTCGGTGTGTTATCCATGTGTATATTTTTGTAAGAAAACAATGCTCAAAGCGAATTTGGAATTCGAACTGATGTTCATAGATTTCTGTAAATGGTCTTGACTAATGGGTAAGAGGAAAGGAATGACAATAAAACCAGTCAAAATGTTTTCTTTATTTGTTTGATAATTCACATCCCACACACCAAAATAACGCTGCATATTAATGGCAGAAGTCTATTAATAGAGTCAGGATCAGACAAACCACGGGTTGATAAAATGGGGATAAAACCTAGGTCTACCGAGGCACGGACACTGGCCATCTACAGGTAATCCACAAAGTCACCTTTTACGACAAGCACACTCTGTGGTGAATCAGTTCTAACCACAATCCCCACACAATAAGGTAAGTTTTGTTTTACACCGATTTCAGTAGTTTTCCGTTATACCGTGGTGTGTAAGGAGGGATACGGAATATAGAGGTAGGTTGTTTTGAAAAGGTACATTGGGTAAAGGGTGGTATGAAAGGGTTACATGTTACATGTACGAAGTAAATAGATTACATGTGTAAAAATATTCTGAAACATGGTCGAATGTCTAAACGTTATCGCTCGCTTTTCCATTTAAGAGAAGTGTAAACATATTGTTGTTATGTTTGGTCATTTGATTGGCCAACTAAGCATTTTTGCCATAAACCTTAAACACATAGACAACGCCTCTACAGGTCAACGTTATATTGAATGAATGACAATAGAATGGTCGGGGCTTGTGAACTATGGCATTGACGTCTAACTGTTATCTGCAGCATAGGGGCGTGTCTCGCTTAGAAACAGCGTTAGAAAGACATATAGGTGTATAGACCCAACCCTATTACTATATAAAAGGAAAGGGATGTAACGACGAAACCACACTCTCCTCAATCAAAGTTAGATTTCACCGCGTAAAATATGTTTAAGGCCCGCCGAGGCCTACGGATCGAAAGCTAGATGATTTCCCTACAAAATCGGGTCATTATTTCAAAAGTTATACGCCACAACTCACCGAAAACAGCTACCTCCACAATTCCAAGACAAATTCATGGATCAGCCCCTATGATCTGCAGTTTGTTTTTCAATGCCGCACTCAGCAATATTCCAGCTACATGGCGGCGGTCTGTAAATAATTGAGTCTGGACCGGACAATCCAGTGATCAACATCATGAGCATCGATCTACGCAATTGGGAACCGATGACATGTGTCAACCAAGTCAGCGAGCCTGACCACCCAATCCCTTTATTCGCCTCTTACAAGTATGGGTTACTGAAGATCAATTCTAACCCGGATCTTCACGGGTCACAACAATCATGGGTGTCGTCTACAGTTATCTGTGAAGGTATTATTGTTGATGTATTTTGTTATAAAAATAGCTTCCATTTGTTGAAATATTTATTGAGTTATAAACGGTAAACCCTGTGTGGGAAATAGGCGAATCTACACAATCACCATCATGTTAAACGTTATTTTCTTAAAACTCAATAAAGGAAAAAAATATTGAAAAGTTATTGGCAATTAAATGTCTGTAAAATGAATCATTCTACCGTTACATATTGCGCAAAAGTTTACTGTATTGTGCTTTTATATAATCGTTGTTGGTTATTGAAAAAAATATTAATGAATTCTCTTTTATACTAGATGTACATTTAATAAATATACTGAAGATGAGGCCCATCCTTTATAAAAAAAATAGTTTTTCAACACTCCCTGGTTTCAGTTACGGCGTAAGGGTCCGTGAAATAGATCCTTCCAGATCTGGACAACGTCGGTCAGGAGAAAGAATCCCAGCATGGAAACGATGACGGCGATGCCTGCCGCCCCAATAGAGGTAGCAGACCTTCGGGTATCCAGCACGCTTACCAAACGTCTTACTGACTTCGATAATACGCGTTTGTCTATGAACAGAGCTAACTGAATACGTTGTTTAATAAGTTCAATTTCCTCTTTTGTGACGTTCACTGAACACCTGCATACACACATCGTAGGCACCGGTGTTGTAGAGCCGACGGTGTTTGATGACGTGGTTCCGGTTGTAGATGCTGTGGAGTGAGTGTTTGTTGTTGAAGTTTCGAAGCTGCTTGCGGGTGTTGATATTGTTGCAAGGTCGGTGGTGTAGGTTGTGAAGCTGTTTCCAGACGTTGTGGTTGTAGTTTGCGGGGTAGGTGATGGTGTTAGCATCTCCAAGGACATAGATGACGAATCCCACAAGACCGATGACGTCTGTGTCATTATTGATGACGTTTCCAACAGGACTGGTGACGTTTCCACCGTGACTGATGACGTATGCGTCATTGATGATGACGAACCCATCGTGACTGATGAAGTGTGTATCACCACCGATGAGGTATCCATCTCGACCGATGAGGTATCTGTCGTGTGTGATGACGTATCAATCGTAAACGATGACGTTTCAGGCGTTACTAATGACGTGTCCAGTGTAACTGATGTGAAGACTGTCGAAGACACTGTTGCGGCAAGAGATTCTAAAAATATATTTCGAATAAATTAAAACCAGGAATATAGACTACCTTTGTCTCTAATATGTTTAAAAATTCTACTTACGCGGGAATCATATAACATTGTCCCAACTACCTTTTCGTTTATTTAAGAGATTGGGCAGTTCCTGGTTATAGAACTGTACACAAAAATGGAACTTAATATAATAGTAAAGCCACCGTTTTACTGTCAAATTCAAGAATGGCCCTCTGAACTTTACATGTTGTTGAACCTCAGCAACCGTCCCCAACCCATTTCTCTTTTGATGTGGTTCATCTACACACAGCCATCCTGTAAAGCTAAGATCAGGCCCCTATAACCCCTAGACACCACCACTCGCCATCACCATCATCCCCTTTCACCACACCCTCGGGCCCCTCACACATCTCCACGCCGAACCCAGGACCTCTTGTCACCTGTCATACACCCTCCTTCTAACCTCCCCGTACGTACCTTCACACAGAGACCCCATCGTGACGTACCTTCACACAGAGACCCCATCGTGACGTACCTTCACACAGAGACCCTATAGAGACATACCTTCACATAGCGACCTCCCTGTACGTACCTTCACGCAGAGACCCCATCGTGACGTACCTTCACACAGAGACCCCATCGAGACGTACCTTCACATAGCGACCTCCCCGTACGTACCTTCACACAGAGACCCCATCGTGACGTACCTTCACACAGAGACCCCATCGAGACGTACCTTCACATAGCGACCTCCCCGTACGTACCTTCACACAGAGACCCCATCGTGACGTACCTTCACACAGAGACCCCATCGAGACATACCTTCACATAGCTACCTCCACGTACGTACCTTCACATAGCGACCTCACAGTGACGTACCTTCACACAGAGACCCCATCGTGACGTACCTTCACATAGCGACCTCCCCGTACGTACCTTCACACAGCGACCTCACCGTGACGTACCTCCACACAGAGACCTAACCGTGACGTACTTTCACATAGCGACCTCACGTTGACGTACCTTCACACAGCGACCCCACGGTGACGTACCTTTACACAGCGACCCCATCGTGCCGTACCTTCACATAGCGACTTCACCTTGACGTACCTTCAGACAGAGACCCCATCGTGACGTACCCTCACACAGCGATCTCACGTTGACGTACCTGCATACAGCGACCCCACGGTGACGTACCTTCACACAGAGACCCCCATCGTGACGTACCTCTACACAGCGACCTCATGGTGACGTACCTTCACACAGCGACCCCCTTCACCTACCCATCGTGACGTACCTTCACACAGCGACCTCACGGTGACGTACCTGCATACAGCGACCCCACGGTGATGTATCTTCATACAGCGACCCCATCGTGACGTACCTTCACACAGCGACCCCCTTCACCTACCCATCGTGACGTACCTTCACACAGCGACCCCGTAAAGCCAGGTAGACAGGTGCAGGTGTAATTAAAGATATCGTCAGTGCACGTCCCGTTATTCAGACACGGGTTCTCTGGGCACTCGCTCCACACTGAAAAGTAACCGTCACGTGTTTACATTACTATTAGCTATCTGAAGACGAGACCATCATACCCACGCAGTAATACACTGAAATATAATTGTTTATCATTTGCCAATGTTCAAGGCTGAAAATGTGCCATGTTCTTTATATTCATTTAGAAAAATAAACGTTTGTGTGCATATCGTGATTAGATTTACTGTACGCGTGCATTGGTAAATGGTACATTTTACGTACAGAAATGCTACTTATTCGGATTGTCCATAGTAGTTGATACACTATTATAGTATGACCAGAAATTATTGAGAATTTTAGGAATATGTTTAATTGGATTTCTAGTATAAACAACCTTGACCAGCTATCAAGTGCTTGGGTTCATTCAAGAGAGACAACTCCGTTAATCCTTTTTCATTAGTTTGTGAAGACTTATCCCCCTTTGTTTACTTGCTAGCAGACGACATTTTCAGTGATCCTCAGTATGGATGATTTAGAGAAGAGGAAGTTGATGTAAGAGTATTATAACAAGGACATCAGATCAGCTAAAGTGATTTCAAGTAGAACAGGCATCCCTTTGTCCACTGTCCAAAAATATTGTAAATGGATATGGCATTGAGCACCAGGGAGGCGCAGGTAGGCCCAGAAAATTGACTGTCGGTGACAGGAGGCGGCTTGGTATTCTTGTTTCTAAAAACAAACGAAGGAGTTTAGAAAACTTCAGACTGGATATGATTGATAGAGAAACTGTGGCTGTCTGTAAGGAGACAATTAGAACTGAGCTGTATGCAATGGGTTGGCAGAAAAGTCGAGGAATTCCATCACCGATCATGAAACGTGAGCAAAATGAGCGAAGGTTGAACTGGTGCTTACAGCATAGAAATTTTAAACTGAAAAACCTATATGTATCAGCGCCCAAAGTACAGTCCGAAATTTAACGCAACGCTCCTCTGTGTATTTGAAGGGAATATGAACAGTGAGCGGTACACAGATATTCTCTCACGTGTTCTGTGGAAAGTTTTGGATTTTCCAACAGGACAACGACCCAAAACATCGTTCAAAGTATTCACAGGCCTGGTTTCGGACCCGATATATGACATTATTAGATTAGCCAAGCTATAGCCCTGACCTAAATCCAATAGAAAATGTTTGGGGACTTATGAAGGAAAGTGTCAATAAGAAAAATCTGACAAATATTGCTGAAATGAAAGAAGAGGTGGTCCGATATTGGGACAGCATGGACCAAGACTTTCTATCTTCTTTGATCAGTAGTGTGCCCCGACGCGTTGAAGCCTGCATTGCTGCCCATAGTGACTTTACAAAATACTAACTGTTCACCTGTCTTTGAATCTGGAGTTATGTTCTGCTAATATTCACATTTAATACGTGAGTAATGAGTGAAAAAACATTATTACAATCTTAAATTCTCAATAATTTCTGGTTGTACTGTACACAGAGAGACATGGGTTTACTGTCAGCCTTAACGACTACATCGGTGTGATTCTCTTTGCCGTCTGTCTTAGGTGCGCGCGCGTGTGTGTGTGTGTGTGTGTGTATGCTGTGTATGTGTGGAGTGGTGTGAGGAATGTGTGTTTGAGTGTTTGTTCTTGCGTGCGTGCGTGTTTATAAATTTGTTTTTGGTCCAGCCCACCCATTGTGCCAACCACAGCCACGTCCGATAATAGTTCAATCGTCCATTCATGCCCCACCTGGTCTTGAAACAAAGGAGACCAGAAAACAACACCACTTCTCAGAAAGACACTTATAAATTATTAACAAGAATTATTGACCAGTGACAAAGACTAATCAAATTACAGTCAACACAAAACAATATGTATGTACAAACAGTCCCAGTCTTTGATGTATGTATTTCACAGCTTAACCAAGTACAATAGAGCATCAATTTCAAGGAGATTACAAAGAGCGTCATTCAAGTCTTTCAAAGATATTAAAACGTGATCAATCAGGTTCCCTGAGACCTCAACAAAGCTACCACAGCATGGTAGACATATAGCAGGCATTTCCACTTTGTTTGTTTGTTGATAGTTTTGTTTGTTGTTGATCTCTACTATTAGGCTGGGGTGGTAAAAGTGCAGCGCTTTGAGTTTAGTTTGTTGTTTTACGCCGCACTCAACACTATTCCAGCTGTATGACGGCGGTCTGTAAAAAATCGAGTGTGGACCAGACAATCCAGTGATCAACAGCATGAGCACCGATCTACGTAATTGGGATACGATGATATGTGTCAACGACGTCAGCGAACCTTACCAATCGATCCCGTTAGTCGCCTCGTACGACAAGCATGGGTTACTGAAGATCAATTCTAGCCCGGATCTTCGCGGGCAAGTTCCAACATTTACGCATCCATGACAAAAATGATGCAAAGATGCAATTCCCTATTTTGACTAGTTCCATAGGTTCCCATTACAATGTGTGGAAGACTGTCTCCCTTTAAATGGGCTTGTGACAGGTACGTGGGTGAGGCACCTGGTGTCATCAGTATTGATAGCGAGTCATAAACATATGCTTATGTTATGGTCGGAAGCACACACAAGACTTATTGTGTGTGTGGCGGGTGCTACCGGTGGGGTGTCATGCCCGGAAAGCCACATTTCAATTACATGTCTGTAAAGCCACATTTCCAATGCTGTTTTCCCATACTGCCTACAGTTCCAAACTGCCTACAGGTTAAAACAACATGATACGGTCCAGTGATCAGGAAGTGAATACACCGATCTGACCTGTTCTACCCCTGCTAAAATGAACTTGACTAGTTAGCTGGTTAATTCTATGGTGTCTTCCCACTCTGCGTACAGAAGTTTAAATAAATGACAAGTGTTGGTTGGTAGGACATCTTTATTCATTCTGAGAATTCTCAGACTTTACATGGAGACATGGATTTATCATGAAAAACTGATAGGTTTTACAGTCTTTCAGTGGTTTTACAGTCTTTTCACACACAACTGACAATCACTTTGCAAACTTGTTGAGATGTCCAGCAGCATCAAGGTACTGAAGAGGCGTTTTTCTGCCGCTCTGGAGGTGCTCCTTCAGTCTCAGAAGTCTCGCATCGAGCTCTCTGTAAACACGCTTGGGTGACTTGGGGAGGGCACCACAGTCGAGCTGAGCACGTTTAGCTTTGTCTGCGGCTTCGATTTTCTTGATGTTGCAGATGAAGAGGTAGATGTTTGGGTGGGCTTTGGCAATAAGGTTTTTCAGCTTCAGGTGCCACCCCTCAAGGTGGTTGTTAGGCCAATATTTCCATACTGCGTCCAGATCCGTTCCGGAAAACGTGCCTCATAGTCCACCCATGTACTCGTGACGTAGTCGTTGAAGTTTCTGACCTTCTCTGTCTCCGGGCCTTCGTCCATGGCGGCGATCCAAGTGTCCTCAACCATGTCCCGTGGAAGTAGTGGAAGGGCAGCTGCTCTTCTGACATAGGTGTGCACCTGTGGGATGTCCTTGTAGTCGTTTGTCAGTTTTCTCAGCCAAATTTCGCCACACAGCCTGAGTGAAGTGGAAGAAGCATCCACGCACTTCACAATCCTTATGGATTTCCTCCACTGCCCTGATGGCTGACACCTCAAAATTTATCTGGATTTCACTAGGCGCAAGTTCACCCCCTACTTTGTCCCTAACAACATCATTCAACAACGTGAATAGTCTGACATAGGTAGCCCTCGTACGATTTGGCAACAGCGCATGCACGCATGGATACATATCCCCATTCACCATACAGTGAATGACATACAGCTGGTCCCATAGGGCTGGTGTTCCATAGAAAGTTCCATCCATATACCACTTGTCGGCACTGCGGAGCATGTTCAGCATGTCCTCTGAAGCAAAAGCCAGTATCTTGTCGTCGTCACCATCATCAATGCACAAGAATTGCTGTCCATCTATTGTCTGAGTCCACGGTCCTTCGAGTTGAACATCAGCTAGAGACTTGGGTAGGTTTGGTAGAACTTTGCTTCTGTGCCGGTAGAGGGAGGACTTTACTCTCGAGAACGATCGTACAGACGCTGGGTCAGCAACCTCGGACAACTCTTCATCGTACAGCTGCCGAATGGATGTGACGTCCTCCTGTACACGCTGACGCAGTCTGCTAAGGAGTCGAATCTCATCTTCAGATTCCACTGGGACATGGTTGTGCGGTGTTGTTGATTTCATGAGGTCTCCAGTTGTAGAACAGCGGCCTTTGCATTCAGAATGTACACACTTCCAATGTGTTGTGGTCTGTCGTCTGACGTTGGGGCGATATCGGTACCCAGCAAAGAAAACTTGTTCTCCTCCTGGTGGAGAAGTGATGAATTGAACGCGTTGAACATTTGCCATTGTGTGATGGGTGCAGTTGGTTCCCCTTCTAATTTATTAGGAGTTTAATTAACTGAGAAGATGAGATCTTCTCAACAATTTAGTCCTTACCATGTTTTTCGACATAATCTGACAAAGACAGACAAAGCCTGTAACAACATAGTTAAAACAAGCCTACCCAACTTGATCAAATAGGATTAAGTTAATCCTGCTTTGGAGGTTACAATATAAGCATGCTAACTGCTTCCAAAAACAAAATAAAACAATATTATTGTAGTTTTTATTGGATGAGAAGACTCAAAACATACTATACACAGAAGTAGATGCACAGATATATACTAATATAATCCCCCTAATTATCCCTTACTCCAAACGAAGCACCCCTTCTTCCTTGATACTTGGGCTGTTCCATTATTCTACAGGGCAAAAACCTTTTCCCACGCTGCCTACAATGTTTTTGTTGGCAGTTTGGGATGTAGGCAGTTTGGAACTGTAGGCAGTATGGGACCTAACCTTTCCAACAGATTAATTAATTAATGAATTACCGTAAGCGTTAAAAGACTGTTCCTACGCTAAACACCAAAAGAAACGTTACCGTCCTACCATCTATGAATTAACAACAAAAATATGTTAGAAGGTTTTAGTTTACAAGAAAACTTAACAACACAGCTTTATACAAATCACGAACCAAATTCTCAAACGCATTCATGTTTAGGTGAACTGCGTCGTTTTCAGAAGAGTTAAATTGTCCTATTTTCGACCATGCCGAAATAAACCCAATAACAGTGATTTAGATGTCCAAAAAAGGGTTGAAATAAAATTCTGCTAAAGACAGAAATAAACCATTTAAAGGCACCATTTTTTAATTATTAAAACAAGAAAGAACCGTTGTAGAGTTTGTAAAATTGTAAAAGAATCACCTATGATTTCAGTCTTTTAAAACATTTTCTGCTGATTTGTATTAGTGAAAACAAGTACAACGTGTCTTTGATATTGTGAAAAAGTGTTTAGGAACACCGAAAATGATCTTTGTTAACATTTTTGCTTGCAAAGTAACATTTACACACAGCAATCGCCAAAACGTAGCAATATTCAAGCAGTATTTGCATAAATTTCACGTGTAGAATGATTCTATAGGGTATAAAGAGAGGCTCAGCCTAGAATGCATGATATGATACACAAGTACGACAAATATGCCACGATTAACAGCGAAAGAAGGGGAAAGAGTCATTGGGATGTTGCCGATGGGGTCGACATACAATGCTGTTGCCAACGCCCTCGGATGCCACCATTTCACGGTTATAAGACTTATTCAGCGCTACAGACAGACTGGGGTCACCGTAGATAGACCACGAAGTGGACGTCCACACATCACAATGCAGCAGAAAGTTTTCATAAGAAATGTACACATGGCAACAAACTAAACTATTATCATTATTATTATGTTTTTACAGATTAAGATTTCTTATTATAATGTGATAATATTATAGTATATTATATTGTGCTAATTATAGAAATAAAATCTGTTGTGATCTGAATAAAATTATGAGGAAACATGTCTTGTTTTGTTAAATACGGTAACCTGTTTGAATCACTAAGCATGTTTTGACAGCATAGCCGGGAGAGCCACATTCCATGTTCACGCAACCATAACTAGTGCCGGGAGAGCCACATCAATTTTGGCTATCTGTTTCGGAAATGTGGCTCTCCCGGCCAGTAACCACCGGCGGGGCAGAACATGCTTACCCTTTTTCGGGAACACCTGACCCGTGAAGATCCGGGTTAGAATTGATCTTCAGCAACCCAAGCTTGTCGCAAGATGCGACTAACTGGATCGGGTGTCAGACTCGCTGACTTGGTTGACACACGTCATCGTATGCCAAATCGTAGATCGATGATGTTGATCACTGGATTGTCTGGTGCAGACTCGATTATTTACAGACTGCCGCCACATAGCTGGAATATTGCTGAATGTTGCGTAAAATTAAACTCACTCACTCGGGAACACCTGGTGTTAGTGGTTCATATTATTTTCACAGCTAGTTTGCCCTTTACGACATAGAATCTATTTCTGAGGAAAACTCGGCGTTATTTTACAATAACGTTATATAATTACGATTATTATGCACAAATCCACAGAAATGTTGTTTTGTATAATATGCAAACATTGCTTGCGAAAACTGAATTAAATGTTAGTGGGGTTGTTGTTTAACTCCGTAAACAGCAATATTCCAGCTCTATAAATAGTCTGTAAATAATCGAGTCTGGACCAGATAATCCCGTGATCATCGATCTACGCAATTGGGATAAGACAACGTGTAAACCAAGTCAGCGAGCTCGACCATCCGATCCCGTTAGTCGCCTCTTACGACAAGCATGAATTACTGAAGATTAAATCTGACCCGGATCTTCATGGGTAGAATTAAATGTCAGAAAGTTTAGTAGTAAGTTTATGACAAATACGATACTTACAGCCATTGGGTTGTCTAGCAGTTCCCATGGACATCCCATTTCCTTCATAATGTAAGTATGCATAGAGAAATGCGGCGTAAGGCATTCCAGGTCCCAGTCCAATGGTCAGAGTCCCGGCTGTCACAGGAGCCCTGGCAACCGAATACCGACATGATGGAACCTCATCGGTGTCATAATCCGCAGCCAGTGTCTTTGCATAGGAGGTCTTCGTAACCACCGTCACATGCGTGTCAAAATTCGTTCCATCGAAAACCGAAAGGTCCGTGGTGAAACCCTCCGTGAATCTTTCAACGGGGGGTACAACTATTAAAAAGGGGTCTCCTAGGTTACTGGGTCCCCCTGAAGCCCCCTTCCCATACATTAAGACCATTACAGGGCTGGATGCATATATGCATAGTGTTTTGTTCAGTTTGAGATCTATTTCCCAAAACGTTCCTTCCATCAGAACGTGAACAGTGTCTTCGGAGGTAGTTATGTTTGTTTCATCTTCTGTTGCTAGGATACGGAAAACAGCTTCCCTATCTCTACCTGGTCCGTGGAGAACGTACCTTTGCCCAAACATGTCCCTCGAGGGGATCATTTCTGCAAAGGTGTCCCTCCCGCCAACATTAACGGGAACAAAACTCCCAAGATGTCCAGACACAACCCCTAGGGGTTTGCTACTTAATACCATCGTCCCTGTGAAATCTCCTGTACAGCTTGCTTCAAACACGTCATGCTCATCAAGGGTGATGTTGTAAACGTAACCGTCCTTCAGGGCGTCGCCGTCCATTGTACCACAGTCGCCGTCCAACGTGAGTCGGAACTTGAATGACACAACGGTATTATTTTCAGTAGCTACTACACCGAATGTAGGTATATCGGCATTCTTGACGTACCCAAACGATGCCAGATAGTGCCGGGTACCCAAGGAAGCTGCAGGCAGCACGTTGAAGGAGTAGGAGGAGTAGCCGCCGAAGTTGAAGGCGTACACAGAAACGTCGGTCGTCGCTTGAACAAGGACGCCACGTTTTTCTATGACCAGCAAAGCCGCAAGAGCAATATCTTTGGTCACTGTAATGGTCCTCGACTCACCTCCAGGGATGGTTACAGTGGTGTTGATGTTGTATAAGGAATTGGTGACGGTCACGTCGGCGTCCGTAACAGCAGCGATCATCAGCTTGAGGGCTGCTCCGTCTTGGTTGAGACCTTTTGTGAAGATGACGACGAACTTCCTCCCGTACTGGCTTGGCAGAGGTTGTCCTGGAAAAGACCCCGAAATTATATGATCGTCATGGTCCTTTGTGAAAACTTCTTTAGAACATTTGTATTAAATTCCTTTTGAGATGTTTAACTTTCACGAACAATTCCCTTCCTATTATTTTAATTACATTGCAAGGCTGCTTCTTGTTACTTCGGGAAATGAAGTGAATGAGTTTAGTTACATTTTACGCCGCTTTTAGCAATATTCCAGCAAATATCACGGCGAGGGACACCAGAAATGGTCTCCACACATTGTACCCATGTGAGGAATCGAACTCGGGTCTTCGGCGTGACGAGCGAACGCTTGAACCACTAGACTGCCCCATGCGTGACTAAAACATGTATCTCTACGCATGACATTGAATATATCCCCATTGTTTATGCATAGAAACACACTTACTCAATTACAGACCGCCAGAAGTCAATTAGGAATACCCATTAAAGTTAAAATATTAAACATGTATGTTTCTTAATGAAGGAATGGTAACCTTCATTACACCGTACACAATAGTCGTACTTATTGGCTTAACACAATTACTCTGCTGGCGGTGAACGACCGCAAGGTCAGACCTACCTGCTACTGCAAGCACTGGCACCAAAACGACGATAATGGTCTGAAACGGAAAAAAAAACACTTTTGAGGGTACAGATGTACATCTAATATAATACAGGCAATATAGATTGAAGAAAATAATAAATATATATTTTATGGATTTTTATGAAAATCAGTGATGACACCAGGTGTTCGCGAAAAGGCCGACTTCTATCCTGTTCTTTCTTTGACCCCTGCCACACACTCGACTAAAAAATAAATATATGTGCGTTTTGTGGTGTATGACGACACAGTCCAAAATGTCAGCAGTCTGTACATAATAAGGTCTGGGCCTCACAACCAAGTGTTTGACATCATGAGCATCGATCTACGCGAGCCTGACCACCCGATCCCGTTAGTCGCCTCTTACGTCAAGCATGGGTGCTGAAGATCCATATCTGGAATATTGCTAAAAGCAGCGTAAAACTAAACTCGTGAGGTCCGCTGAGTGAGAAGATGTAGGAACATCATGTATCTCTAGTGAAGGAAATGTATCCAATCGAAGTATGAATTAAAAAAGGATTATTTGAAGGACACAAGACCAAATATTTATAAGACTCAGTATGGCCACCTGTCTAAACAGGTTGCCAAGAGCCCAGTTCACGAAGCCAACTTCAGCAATAGTCGCTTTGTGGAACTGGCCATGATCTTTAAACAGAAAATAGACAACCATTCAACTGATGTGGAAAATTTGGGGAAGACAAATCTCCTGGCCGAAGGGCGAAAGCAAGATTGCTTCTATAAAATGTTTTCTCTATAATCTGTTGCTACAAACATAACGTCACTCTTCAGGTGTGGAGGGGCGGTGTGGTAGCCTAGTGGTTAAAGCGTTCTCTCGTCACGCCAAAGACCCGGGTTCGATTCCCCACATGGGTACAATGTGTGAAGCCCATTCTGGTGTCCCCAGCTGTGATATTGCTGGAATATTGCTAAAACCTGGTTGAGGTTTGTGAAGACATGCTACAGGTGATTTAGATCATGTTCTTGGCCATGGCTGCCGGAGCCAATGTTCTTCGCATGCTTGGTCAGGGTTGAGCTGACACCAGATTTAGTTCTAGGGGGCTGGTAGGAGTTTGAAATGAAAGTACTGGTCGGAGTGGGTGGGTGTCCTGTAGACTCCGGATGCAAAGACATCTAGCAAAGGGAGCATATTGTTGTTCCATGTTTCCATAGTGAACTTGATTCGGGGATGTTCGTTTTTTGAGGTGCTGGAGTGGGGTGAAATTGGGTTTAACGTCGCGCTGGAGATTATTTCGCTCTTATGTCGACATGCATGCGTGTGTATGTGTAGGTGCGGTTGCTTGTACTAGCCCAGACTGAAGCTGGTTTTATAGTGCTAGCCCACTGAGATACCAAGCCGCAGTGAAGCATGAATACCCCACTCAGACACAGTATACTGACTCCGAGCCGACCAGTCCTTGTTGTACCCATTAATGCCGAGCGCCAGGCAGGGACCAACAAGTACCATATTTTAACGTCTTTTGGTATGACGCGGTCGGGGATCGAACCCGCGACCTTCCGCTCTCCGGGCGGACGCTCTAACCACTACACCACGGAGGCGGTCCGAGGTGCTGGAGTAGTGAGGTGGGATCCTGGTCTTTTCTGAGGATGACACAGATGATCGGGGAGGTGGTTATGGGTAAGGAGGGGTGACAGAGGGGATCCCACTGGGAGTCCGTGGATCTGATTGAAATCCTCTTCTAGGTCAAGGCTGTTTGGGTTGATGTCCTTTGCGCGCTTGTTTTTACTGATTTTGCTCCTAACCCCTCTTGCATATTGTTTTCATATTGTGCTATGTAGCTCTACTTCCTCCCAATTATGCGTCTTCAAGAATACCTATCAAACAATCAATACAAACGTTTGTACAATACACTCTATCCTACTGTCAGTTCAAGCGACGCAGGATTCACAACACATGACTGGCAGCGTTTAATATATTTTATGGCTTTGAAGGTATTACACCAAGACCAGATCACAAATCTGAAAAGAAATCAATTATGGTAAACATGTTTTTCTTCAAGTATTAAACTAAAATAGACTTCCTTCTAGGAAGTATTGGCGTGTTTAATCCATACTTACTGTGATGTGTGTTTGACAAAGGTCAGAAACGTGCAATCGCTTCAAGTCTGTTTATCTTGAAACCCTAGTCATAAGTAAAGGTTATATAATTTAGTCAAATTAGGACAATGACCTTTCATCAGTCGTATTGTGATGTCGTTAAGTGACAGAACCCATTTGCTGTTTTCTTTTCGAAGCGGGTTACTTGTAAATTGAATGTAAATTTTATTTGCAGCCGAAATAGGATTCGAGTATTTTCCAGATTCTTGGTATAATAGTCACACGTGTGGTTATTGAAACCTCTTGTGTTGGAATTCAGATGGAATTAATGAACATTGAAAGGCCACGCTGTAATCTGCCAGTATCAAGCTGAAAGAAAAAAACACTTCGTCGTTAAAGCGGCAGTGCAGCTACTAAAGTCCGTTTGCTTTCATGTGAGACCGATGAATTGCTCTCTAACACAAAATCTAACAGTGGTAACAATGCCCAACTTTGCACAGTCACATGAAATCGACAGACCAACTCTGATGATTTGTCTGTCTGATAATTTTGGACATCCGAATAAAAAAGTTGTTTAACAAACGATCATTAATTTGTTGTCACTTTCCGCTATTTCTTACGGGGGGGGCACTTGCTGGTAGAACAGCCAGGTAATCACCACGTGTGTGCAGTAAAATTTCAATTTCACAGGTACAACACGCACACATGGCTGTTCTTACTAGCAAGTGGTCACCCCCTTGTAAGAAATAGCTATTGCTTTAGAATTATTAAGTGGCCAAACGACAGTACCTTAGCACAATTTGCTTCACCGTTTAACCAAAGAAGTAAAACTGCAAAATTAGCAGTTCTGTCTAAAAAAGTTCACTGCATGGTGCTTATATCCATCTAAACATATTGCTTAGAAATGGCCCATTATTATGGCATTATGATTGAAAATCAAGCCGGAATTATTGTTGTTTTTTTACAGCTCATTATATTTTTCCTTGACTTCTACCATACAGAGATCTACATATACGACGAAAAGTTAGATTTTATCTTGCGCATATAGATTTTGCCAAGTATCTCATACCTGTGGTCTTCAGTTTGAATAAGCCCAGAAGTTGCTTCTTTGTCACTACTATACCTCACGTCTGAGGCCTGCTTCATATCGGACTACCCTTCCACATCAAGCTGACACCAGTGATCATCGTCGTTGTCATATTGTCTGTTGGGTTTAACGCCGCTTTTAACTGTATTCTAGTTACGTCATGGGTGCCAGCTAATTTACATAATAAACTACGACAACGACGATGATTATGGAGACATTATAATATGGAATAAACTTATTTACACAATAAAATACGACAACGACGCTGTCGATGATTATAATGACATGGATAGCATAAGACAAATGCAACGACGACGATGATGATGATGATCATCATCATCATCGTCGTCGTCGTCGTCGTCGCATTCATATCGGTTTAATGGTGCTTGCTTACTGAGATAGCTTGCCTAAGTACCGTCTTGATCGAAGGATCGAACTGGCCTTCCGCACAACAGACCAAAGCTCTATGCACCAGACAACAGATTCGCCGAACAAGACAGATGGTGTCTTCGAACGCATACATACGTTCTCATGTTATGTTATAAGCGTTATTGATCGAAACCACTTTGTAAAGAAGTAATAGACGTGTTAAGTCATTCCTGTCTCTTGTTATTCAACCTGTTGGAGGTACGTACCCACATTACAAAGCCTGGAATGAGGAGGACGATATCAGGCGTGAAGTTTCAATTAATATACCTAACATACTCACCTAGTGAACCCTGTTGCTATGGCAACAAAACAAAATAATATATGTAGAAATACGGCTCGAAACCTACTTGACATTGAAAACACGGAGATTGTCAGCTGAAGGCTCCCGCTGGTTCTTGCCGACACTTTGTGTCTTATATTAGTCATTAACACTCTGGGGCGGTGGGGTAGCCTAGTGGTTAATGCGTTTGTCGTCACGCTGAAGAAACGGGTTTGATTCCCCACATGGGTAGAATGTGTGAAGCCCATTTCTGGTGTCCCCCAACGCGATATTGCTGGAATATTGCTAAACGCTGCGTAAAACTAAAGTTAAACTGACGACACTCCAGTATATACAATTATCCATAAGATCAATAAATCAACGATACTTGATGTCCCATGTCACGCCAAGATTGCATACACTCTTGATGAAGGTAAATTCACGAAGCTTCAGCAGTAAACTAAGCAAGGTATTGCTAAGAAAAGCATAAATCTTGTTGCAAGTTTTTGACGGCCATCTTGAATTAAGTCTGCCTAAATTTTGTTTTACAAAGTTACGTTGGTTTTGTATAGTTTACGCTCAAAACCTTTGAAACGTTTACACTGCCTTCCTAAGACATTTAGAGCAATAACTTCATATCCATATATCAAGTAAGAGCATAAAGTAGACACTAAGATCCGTAGAGATTCTGAAACTGATTTTAGTTGGTTTAGTTTGCTTTCAGCAATATTCCACTTACATGGCAACAATGGTTTTCAGTAACTTCAAGGTAAATATGAATTTGTTACCAAACAAGTAAAAAAAAAGAAAATCTTGATCGATTTCCGATGTTTAGTTTCTTTTCTTAGTCAGTATATATAAATAGACTACGAAACCAGACTTAAAATGTTCTGAAAATAATGTGTTGTGGACCTGACAATCCAGTGACTGACATCATGAGCATCGATCTACGTCATGATGTTTACTAACCAAGTCATAAAGTCGCCTCTGGGTGGCTAGGATCGGTGACATGGCTGTTTGCGTGGACTTGGTGTTCATGCGATTAATCACTTGCTTAGGGTCATGGAACGGTTAGTTAAGCCCACCTTGATATAGCGGGCGATAAACAAGACGAACTTGTGAATCTTTCCCAATCCCACAGATATTCAACGATTTGTAAAACAGACAGGCATTCGTGTAACTTTTTGAT